GGGGCTGCTCAGCAACCAGACAATGGAATGTGAAGAGGTTATCTGCCTGTTCTGTCTCGTTTAGATAGTCTTACTTATGCCAAAATCACAAATAAAACAACATCAATTTTTTTACATACTGACATTCAATGAAAGTAATACTGAAATTTAAAGTATATTTTTATTTTGAGAATTTTGAAAATGGGGACATTCACCAAAAGTAAAAAAATCGGAAATAACCCCGGACGCCCGTGAAGGGTTAACAAAATGAAAGGGAACGTGCAAACTGTGCGTTATCAAAAGTCACCGGGTGGAACATCGATGTGTTGCTTATTGACATATGATTGGCCATTCACCGCATCGATGAGTTTTAGTCCTTACCCCATGTAATGGTGACGTCGGCCCAGAGACGGAGGCGGAGAAGAGCTACGTTTATTGCTGCATGCTCCGATTCATTCGACCGGAGTGAAGTCGGGCAGCAAGCTCTAGTGTTTGAGGCGAGAAAAAAATAAAAAAACATGGCAGGTTACCTGAAGGGCCTCAGCTCTCTCACTAGGTCCGCCGCCACTCTTTCCAAAACCCCCGCCGTTCTTGCTCCAGCTTCTTGCCAGAGTTTGCAACAGAGGAACTGTGAGTTTTCCGCTTCCACAATTGTCTATAGATGTGCCAATAAAGCCGCATTAAGCGGCGCTTTAACACCGGTTAATGCTTATCTGAGACGATGGGCTTTTAAATTGAAATCTCCCTGCCACATGCTTGTATCGGAAAACGCCGGCTGCAGACTGTTGTGTTTCTTCTCAGTTCGCCAGCTTGCATGTTTCCATCTCTTCGCGGCTTCAGTAGCGCCTCAGCACAGTGTTATTTTCGCGGTGACGTTGTACGTGCAGCGGGAATCGCTCGGCAGCATTAGCAGAAGTCGCGCTCCTTTGTTCGCGTATACGATGTCTTTTAAAAAAGGAGCAACATAAAACGACTGCTGCATTTAAACCATTAAACCAAACCGTTATCGTTTCTTAAAGGCAAACCCTGTCTTATTAACATCATTGCACGTTTGAACAATTTGACGGCTTTGTAAGAGTCATTTGAGTGTATTTTTGGCGAGTGAATCCCCTGGATGGGTTGCACACAAGGACTGCGGACTTATGAAACCATTCGCGCTTAAAATACTGCTGCAAATGTAATTATAAACATGCAACCGAACAGCTCTGTGATGTAAAATAATTCGGTAACCAGTTATTTGAGTCTTCATGTGGGGTTTTGTCTGTGTTTTGCTTGTACTGCGTTATGAAATCATTTCAAGGTCAGCCGGCCTGGTCGGTACTCTTATTTGACCATTGATGAGTGCAGATCATGACAATTAAGATGTAAATGACCAACAAGCACATTATCTGATTTCTTAAGCATGATATTTGACTACTAAACCATAGCACATTTTTTCACCCTAGTTTTATATGCCCTACTTGTTATGGAGGCTGCATTGATTTAAATGGCCTGTTTGATGCAGCAACTGTACTAACGTTTGGACTTACTGATAGATTAAGGGTTGCCTTCTGAAACGTGTATCTTAGGGTGTTACTTTGAAACAAGGGACAACTGAAAAGCAGGACCTCAGGCACAGCTGTGAATGAATTGGTGTCATGTCCTGACACTAGCTGCTCCTCTGTGTTAGGTAATCAGTTGTCATGGAGGATTGTCCAAATGTAGGTGGTTTACTTGGCGTACACCAGCCCTCGTGTCCTCCGGGTCACCTTTACTCTGAATGGGCTGGTTCTAATTAACACCAGGACTCATGCATCACATCCGAATGACTGTATGTGATGATAGAACCAACCTTTTGCACTTGAGGCATACCACATTAAAACATTCGTATTGCCAAGTTTATTAGAAGGCGTGAGATTTGGCACGGAATGGTTGTGTTAGAATGCCTCGTTCCCTAAGGCATTTTGGGTGATTATGGGTCTTTCATTGAGTTTATAATATAGGTGAAGTGTCATCCACAGTTTATGCAATGCATAGCGGTCTTGTATCAAGAAGTTGTCTTGCATTTCAGGTTGTCTTTATTAACATCAGTTCAGGCACAATGCCAAGCACACTTGCATGTTCTCTCTCATTAAAGTCACAAGGTTGGATTTGACTTTTGCCAAGAGGTGTTATGGGTTGTATAAGGAGAGGCGAGTAGCCAACACTTGTCATTTATTAACCTTTGTGACATTTTCTGAAACTTAACTTGATCTAATTTATTTACACTCTAAAAAATGCTGGGTTATTTTTTTTAACCCAAATGCTGGGTTCAGATTGTTGGGTCATTTTATTGGGTTAATTTTAATATTGTTTTACCCAGGTGCTGGGTCATTTTTACAGTCAATACAAATGATGTACCCCCCCACATACCCAGCGCTGGGTCAGTGTAACCCAATGTTGGGTAGTCTGTGACAAACTGGTTAAAACTGGATACGTTTGTCAGTGGTCATTTTGTGTTCTGTCCTAACTCCTAAGAGAAACTTGACTGACGGGAAACTTCCTGAATGGAATTAAGGTATCTATTATTGTATTCCTATCAAATTATTTCTGTATAAATAGGAAAACTTCTGTAGTCTAACATATTTCCTTTTTTTTGTTTAAATATACATCCCAGCTAACATCTGCTTGGAACTCTAGCCTTCTACAAACGCAGCATTCACTGGATCTACACTCAAAGTGAACGTCGCACCGGTGCCACCACGGAAGTTTCACCTCCAGTCAAAATAATGCTCGACCAGGGCTGAAACACAACGCTACTTCACTGTTATATGTAACAAAGTTTCTGTGCGCTCCACTGACTACAACAGGAGTGCTATTGATCTAGTGCGCCATTTTTGCAGCTGTGGTCGCGCTATGTGTTTGACGGGTTGAAACTTAAATGTCGGACAGACAAGATGGCACGAGGTAAAGCTGTTTTTGATGTAACTTTTTAAACATGAATATAAGATAAGTAATGAATATGTCATTTAATAAACGGGAACAGCCTACTGATAGCAGTTTTCTTCCCACAGATTCCCATTGGCTGCTCCTGTCACATCCTAATATCTTTACTGAATGTTTTTGAAGATTTCATGATTGTAAAAGACTGACTTGACATTAAACAAAAAATATTCTATGTGAACTGTTCTTGTCCTATATAAAACAGATTTTAAATTAAATTTTTGTTATTTAAAATGAAAAACCTTTAATAGGTTGACTGACCCAGCACTGTCAAAAAACAACCCAGTAAATGGGTTAATGTATAAAACCCAACTAGCTGGGTCAAAATAACCCAGCATGTGTTCTGTCTAATATTTACCCAGTGCTGGGTTGCCAAATAACCCAGAATTGGTTGTTTTTAACCCAGCATTTTTTAGAGTGTATATTCATGCCTGAATTTATAATTTCTTCATATTTATATGTATGTGATATGCAGTCATATTATATATCATGTATTAAAAAAATATACAAATAAAAAACTATTTTGGGGGGTGAAATTATGTTTTATAAATGAAAGATTTTTCACTATCAAGAGAAGCATCTGAACATCTACTTTTGTCAACCCAGCTGGTTAGTCATTTCACATATTTATTTTAGTAACTCCATGGCATCTTTGTAAAATCGAATCTAATTTAAGCCACTTTCTCTCCGGGTCACTCTTGAGCAACTTTTGTAGGTCATCAGTTGGAAAGAGTATAAGAACATTTGCCCAATTGATTTGTGAGGACTCCATGTGAACATGCTCACCTCATGGATTTTTTTTAACTACTGACCTTCAAGTGTGGAGCACAAGTGTATGCTTATGTTTGCAAATGTCCTTGACAACTGAAAATCAGAGGATCATTTGGGAGGGATTGCTTGCGATATGATATGCTGACCACATGCTTTGTGTAGAGGCTTAGATACACGTGGGTTGACTTGGCCTTTTCCTTTAGTTATAAGGCTAAAAAGGAATAGTTTGCAAACAAATTCTATCATCTACTCATTGTGGATTTGGAATGATTTAAGTGTGTAAATGACACATTTTTAAATAAACTATTTCTTGGTCGCACCGCCAGTTTAGTTGGAGGTACAGAAATTAAATACTGTGGTTCTAGAAGCCATGGTGCAGAACACGTAACAAGAATTAAATATTTTTTAACTAAATACTTACACTACTGCTAAAAGGTTTGAGGTCAGTATGCATGTTTATTATTTAGTTGAAAAAAATCAAAAGTGAGAGTAAAGACATTTATGATGTTGTGAAATACTTCCATTTCAAATAAATGCTGTGCTTTTGAACTTTCTGTTTATCAAAAATTCCTGAAAAAAAGTATAACATATCCACAAAAATATTAAGCAGCACAACTGCTTTCAACATTGATAATAGTAAGAAATGTTTCTTGGGCCCCAAATCAGCATATTAGAATGATTTCTGAAGGATCATGTGACACTGAAGACGCGTAATGATGCTAATAAACTCAGTTTTGCAACCACAGGAATAAATTGATAATGGAAACAAAAAAATTTGGGACACCTAAGCTCCAAAAAGACAAAAATGTTATCACACAGGTGACATTTCGAGCATGCAGGCTCTTCACCAGACTGACAAATTTAATTTAGGTTAATCATTATTGCATTAAAAGTAAATAGTAGTTTGGAAGCTACTATTTGTGTTTAAACGTGTTTAGAAAAGGTTCTTAAAATAGGTAATGTGGCACCAGCTGGATTCTAGTGCAATGCCAGAGTATCATCCATTGTACAGTAGTGTAGGAGTAAAGTGGCAGTGTGCTATTTTATGCTCAATACATGTGAAGCATGTTATTTGATCACATTCAATTGCCAATAAGAATAGGCCTAACTCAAGGCCATTGGATTGTAGATCACATGATCTTGTTCAGCATTCTTTGCAGATTCTCTATTTCCCATTGGATGAGATTTCAGAGAAAGTTAGAGGAAACATGAGCTATCTGCAGTCCATCATGGCACGTTAGTTCATGCCGCAGCTCGGCATAAATGTATTGTTCATGGGAGGAATCGTTCGCTGTGCAGATGGCTGCAGTGTTGTTAGAAACAGGGCATTGAAGCATGCTTACATAATCCTGCCCATATACTCATCCTCCCCCTTTAGCACGCTGTCCCATCGCTTTTGACTAGTGAGAGGATTCTTTTCCCCAGGATTCCCTGTTTATGTAATTTTTTTGTATATGAACCAAGTCAGGTTTCACGTGAAAGGCCTTACCCATAATGCACTTTTGGTTGACAGCTGTGCTAAGCGGTAACTCTATCTGAAAGATGTTTTTTTTCTGCCCCTTCTTTAGCTTAGTGTTGGTGATATCTTGGATTTGCTGAAATACTCTAATTTATCTTTTATATAAGGCTCTTGCATTAGTATGTGTTGCATAAAACATGTCTTTATATGTCATGCTGCGATTCAACTTGATTGAAATGTTCACAGGGTCTGAACTTTGACTTGATGTACGTGACCTGTGGCTGCTGAAATAGATTGAAGATGTAGTTTATAAAGTGTTACATCAGTGGTGTATGGTAAATGTGTTACCCTCAGTGCTTATAAAGGTGATTATGCCAAGCTTTATTGACAGCATCTTGTCTTTTATGAACTCTTTTACTGTTTTTGACAGCTTTGCTGACTAGATAGATGGAGTGGCTCTCTAGCAGGAGCAGGAACTTGGCAAGTGTAACGAAGTCACTTTATTCCCTCCATGCCTCCCCCTCCTTCCTCTGCTTTGTCCCCACTGAGAGAAGGGGAGAGTGAGATGACCTCTACTTGCTTGCTTGCTTTAGTGGAAAGCAGTGGCATAAAAAAAGTGTTTGAAACCCTAAAGAAGACATTTAATACATGAAATTGCTGCAAATAGGTCCTTTTAGCAGCAAGCAGGAGTGGGTGGTATAAGTAATTTATCTGTATCATTCTCATGGTTTGGAAACTCCTTAGGTAAAGTGGGGTTTTGGACAATAACTGCATAAATCCTTATCATTTTGTGATGACTTTGCATTGATAATGGACAACACAACCTATAATAAAACAAAAACTAATGAATTCAGGACATAGAAAAATACTAGAACTATTTATAAAGCATCTCTAAACTGTGTTCTAATTTGTCTGTTATCTATTAACCTTAATTGGCAATCAGCCAGTAAAGCTTTAAAAGTGTGCTAACACAATAATCTTTAATAATGCAACCTGGGCCAGTTTAATCCAGTAATCAGGCATTACAGCTGCCAAAGGCGGCAATGTCTTGCTGTCAAATGTTTAGATTGCCATTATTATGAATTGCAGTTCTTCAATGATAATTGCAAGTTACTTCAATGGATTTATGCCAAGAAATGATAAAAGCTTATTATCATATTGTCCAAAACTTTGCCTAGGGTGTTTTTGAAGTTTTAAAGGGCACTACATACAGTATGTGAAATAACCATGTGCTAATGCCTTTTTTTCCTCCCCTTTTTTGTGACACTAGAGTTGAGATGGTGTATACAGTTGTACTGTCAAGCCCTAACAAGAAGTAAGAAAACCACAGTGCAAACTGTGTTGTAAATATACATATCAAGAAATTATATAGTTCATAAGAAGGTCAACAGCAGATTGCATGTTTTTTTTACGCTACTGTTCAAAAGTTTGTGGTTGGTAGTTTTTAAAAAAAAATTTTTTTTTTGAGAGGTCTCTTATGCTCACTAAGTCTGTATTTATTTGATACACAAAAAAACAAAACAACAACAACAAACAGTTAAACCGTAATGTTGTGAAATATTTTTCAAATTTAAAATAGCTTTACTATTTTAATATATTATAAAAAGTAATGTATTCCTGTGATGGCAAAGATTAATTTTTAGCAGCCATTACGCCAGTCTTCAGTGTCACATGATCCTTTAGAAATCATTCTAAAATGCTGG